GAGGAGAGCGGGGAGGGGGACACGGAGGAGCCCCACGCTACAGCTCCACCCGGTTATCCCTTCTCCTGTCTCCCCATCCATCTCCCACCCCATCCCACTTACCCACCCACCCGTTTGTACCTATTCCCCAGCGCCCTGCGTTCATCCCCAGTCTTCCACCCATCCATCTTCTCCACATGCAGGCCAGGCTGTTCCTGGGGGCAAATAATCCACCCACCCACCCACCTCACAACCTACCTGTCCTCCTACAAGCCGCCTGCTTATCTAGAGAGCTGCAGAGATTTGCTGGGGAGGGCTCAGCACCGCATCTTCAGCCGATAACCTTTATCCTCTTAATAAAGCTGCTTAATTCTCACTTCCTTAGAATTAGCTGTCACTGAAAGCCGTTTTTTTGTCACTGAAAGCTGTTTTTTTGCAGACAGGTGAAAAAACCACTGTCTTTAAGAAAGCAATGTGACCAGCAGGATCGGGAAGGGGCTAGGGGGGGTTTTTTGGATGTATGTGGGGTTCGGGTAAGGACACGCAGCTCTTCTTCCACACAGGCTTTTCTGGGGGATGAGAGGAGCCAAGGCTGTGTCCCGGGTGGGTTGATCCAGCCCAAGACCTTGCCAAGCTCTCGGAGCATCTCTCCACGGTGCCAGATTTCCGTGCCCAGGTCTGATCCCAATCCATGTGTCCCGGTCGAGCTGCCAGGAGTTGGGCTCAGCTGCAAGCCTTCCTCCCTGGACTGGGGAGGGAGATGTCTCCGATGGGAGAAGAACACTGCATTTCTACCCCTGTTCCGGGATGCCAGGGGCTTGGCAGGGCATAAAATGACCCAGCTGAATCCAACCTTGCTGAAAAGCCTCAGCTCGGTCCCATTACCAGGCCCAGACCTTTAACTCCATCCCGTTATCGGGCCCTTCCCCACCCTAAGGAACCTGCAGACGGGTTAATCGTTGGGTGAGAGGAAGACAGGGCATGGCCTTCACAGAATCACAGAATCACAGAATGGTAGGGGTTGGAAGGGACCTCTGTGGGTCATCTAGTCCAACCCTGGCACCCGGCTATCCCATGGCAGGTAGGAAAGGGAACACAGGCATCCCGAGCCCTGTGCATCCCCAGGGACCCGCCACCCCCTCCAAGATTGTCTCCCACCATGTGAAAAGCCTCCTGGTCAAAGCCCAAGGTGCCAGAGGCACCGACATAGTTTAATTCATCCCATGTAAAAGTCACTTTTCGAAAAACTCCATCAAGCCTAGCAGTTTTAATTTAATTAAAGTCCTTTCCCTGGTCCACAGAGGGGTCTGAGCGGGGCAGACCCTGCAGGAGCATCCCCTGGATGCCCATCCCGGAGCAGCCCAGCACCCCCGAAAGTCCCCGTGACGCCCGAGGCTGAGCGCTGCCAGCTCCCAGGGGATTAAAGGTGTCCTGAGAACAACTTAACTCTGGCAATCAGCTCGGCCCCCGGCCGGGGGATATTAAAACATCCCCCCTAAGCCCTGTTGTCTCGGGGGTGATTGCAATAAACCCACCGGCGTGCGAGATTAAACCCGCCGGCGCAGCCCGGGCTCTCGGCAGGCATGTGAAGACATCAGCACAGTTTGGGCTCTTTGAGACCTGCTGGCTAATCCGGGCTCTGAGAACAGCCGGGACAAAGGGCAGCTTCCGTCACCTCGTCCCCTGCTCCTGGCACCGTCCCCTTCTTGCGTCGTCCCCCTCTCCTTGCACTGTCCCCTTCTTGCATTTCCTTTTCCTTGCTTCATCCCTTTTTCCTTGCTTCATCCCTTTTTCCTTGCATTGTCCTCCTCTCCTTCCATCGTTCCCTTCTCCTTGCACTGTCCCTTTCTCCTTACATTGTCCCCTTCTTAGATTGTCCCCTTCTTAGATTGTCCCCTTCTCCTGGCACCGTCCCCTTCTTCTTGCACTGTCCCCTTCTTGCATCTTCTTTTCCTTGCTTCATCCCTTTTTCCTTACTTCATCCCTTTTTCCTTCCATCGTCCCCTCCTCCTTGCACTGTCCCTTTCTCCTTACATTGTCCCCTCGTTAGATTGTCACCTTCTCCTGGCACCGTCCCCTTCTTCTTGCATCGTCCCTCGCTCCTTGCACTGTCCCCTTCTTGCATGTTCTTTTCCTTGCATCATCCCTTTTTCCTTGCTTCATCCCTTTTTCCTTGCTTCATCCCTTTTTCCTTGCATTGTCCCCTTCTCCTTGCACTGTCCCTTTCTCCTTACATTGTCCCCTTCTTAGATTGTCCCCTGCTCCTGGCACCGTCCCCTTCTTCTTGCGTCATCCCTCTCTCCTTGCACTGTCCCCTTCTTGCATCTTCTTTTCCTTGCATCATCTCTTTTTCCTTGCTTCATCCCTTTTTCCTTGCATCATCTCCTTCTGCTTGCATTGTCCTCCTCTCCTTCCATCGTCCCCTTCTCCTTGCGCTGTCCCTTTCTCCTTACATTGTCCCCTTCTTAGACTGTCCCCTTCTGCTTTCACCGTCCCCCTCTCCAAGCACCATCCCCTCTCTCCGGGTGTCATCCCCTCTCCTGGCATCATCTCCTTTTCCTTGCGTTGTCCCCTCTCCTTGCACTGTCCCCTTCTTAATTGTCCCCCTCTCCTTGCACAGTCCCCTTCTCTTCGCCTGGTCCCCTCTTCCCTTCTCCTTGCATCAGGTTTCACCCCCCCTCAGATAAACCCTTCACCTGGGTCCCTCCAGCCCCAGCCCAGCGCAGTCAGCAGGAGCCAGTGCTGCCCAGGTGACCATGCAGATGTCCCCATCGCTGCTCCCACCCAGGAGGTCCCAAGCCGCTGGTACTCACCTGCTTTGCACCTCTCCAGGAGCTCCCCAGCTCCCCATGGAGCCCCCCTTGGCTCATGCACCGGCCAGTGCCTGGCCCAAACCTGCTGGATTCCCTCAGCCAGTTTGCTGATGACACCAAACTGGGAGGAGTGGTGGATACCCCGGCAGGCTGGGCTGCCA